CCTTAGCATGCAAGCCAAGGCTCTATACTGCCGATTTGCACCATTTTTGAAAAGTGGGCGGGGCTTCTCCGAAGTGGGCGGAGCCTCTCACAGTGGGCGGGGCTTCACGGGGCAGTCCAAAAATGCAAAAATTTTGAAAAAATATCAAAATTCCGCAAAAAGCAAGTGGGCGTGGCCAAAGGGGCGGAGCCTGAATTGCCGGAGCATGAATGCGCGGTTACGAGTATCTTCGTTGTGCAAAGAGTGGATGTGAAATTAAAAAGTTGAAAAAGTTATGAAATTTCGAAGTTCGCAACAAACCCTTTAAAGAATGGGCGGAGTCGGCCATGTGTTGAAAATCTATGTCCGCGCTGACAAGTAGGCGTGACCGTCGGGGCAGGGTTCGCAGTGGTGTCTGGCGTGATCTGGTTGGTGAACTGCCCGGTCTAAAAAGAGTGGTGAATTTGGTTTGAAGTGGTGAATTTGAAGTGAAATGGTATAAATTAGGGCCAAAGGTTCGTTCCTGGTTCTTCCTTTTGCAGAAAGATGAGGGCTTCGCGGAAGCGATGAGCACATTTGTTCATGCGCGGAGAAGCCTCACTTCAAGACAGTTCAAAATCAGAGGCAGAAGGCGACATGCGTTATTAATTCAGGGTTCTTTCTTATCTACCTCACACTATGGTTGCTTTGTAGGGAGGCAGCAGCTCCAGCCTGAAATTAGGAGAAGGTGTCCTTTAACTTATTCAGCATGAAGAAGGCCTTAAAAGCTAGCCCCAAGTTCAAAATGGGGAGTTGTGCGGCTAAAAAACTAATGACAAGGAAGAACTTCAGTAGTGAAACAGCGAAAAAAAAACGCTCGAAGTTCCCCATATACATAGAACCCCGTGCTGATTGCGCTTAGGCGTGGTCGAACGAATCCTATTTTATTGGTGCCAGTACATTCTCCTAACATGTACTCTCACCATTCCAAATGGAGAGTTAGCAGCGGAACAGCCGCACCATCGAGGAGTCTCCCCGTGGTTAGGCGTGGAGCCGTAGTTGGAGCCGTAGCCGCTTTCCATGCGTATTTTTATGAGCTGGAAATTAGTGCATTCTTCACACGTGCAGGCAGAACTACCTTGTCCAAAGAAAGAGGATTAACACGAAATGAACGCGGGAGTGCCTTCAAAGAGGAACTGTAAACTCACGTCAGGGGGCGGTTCCATGTGCGAGTTGAAAAGAGTCGCAGTCGGGAACGAGGGTGGAAGATAGTGGTAACCTGGTGGCATCTTGCGATTCTGCCCATGCGATCCTGAAGGTGCACTTGCGTTGATACCGAATTCCCGCGACGACGAATACGCAGTCATAGGTAAAGAACAACCAGAAGTGAGAGCACACGGGCAACTAGTGCTTTGAACCATGGGTGGGCGATGGGTGGTAGTACCGAAGCGAACGAAGTCGAAAGGTCAAAAGTATGCGCGAACGGTCATTGAGCACAGTGAGACCCGGGAGCCGTCTCTACAATCTGCCCGCGCTGTTGCACCACCAGCGACACGTCTAATCACAGCCAAACGCGCTACCTGTCTGCGCCCTCTCACCTGGTTGTTCTCTAAGAGCGCGTTCAGACTTCGCGGATCGCGCG